TTGCAAGCCGTAAAAAAATCATCCTTACTATCATTCATGGCCTACGCAATAGACACGACATGATTGAAAAATTATTCACGACGTGCAAAAAAAGCAAGTTGTAAAAGTGAGAAACCATGTCGTGCATTTATTATATGTCATTGATGTGATGCCATGAAAATCCTATTTTGTTGTAGTTTTCCTCAAAAAAGATCGGCCTTTCTTGAAATTGAATTCGGTCCTTTTACCTCTCCATTCAGTTGTTGGAGTTGTAGCCTGTTTCTTGGCTGTTATTATGGCCTCTGCCATCAATGCCCTATCAAGCACTTCCACATAAGTAGGCAATTTAAAGACGGCTACTCGATCAAATATTTCCAGGTCTAGTCCTTCCTCGAACTTTTGTGCTTTCTTATAATCAGTGCCCACCATGTGTAAGGAAAAACGAGCTAATTCAATACACTTGGCCTCATATTTGGTCACTGACATCCTACATTGTTTGAGTTCTTGGAATTTTGACACTTTTCGGTCTCTGAAGCATTGCAGAAAGTATTTGTTGTAGAATATCTCATTAAATTGAGCCCATGTTATGTCCCCATTATTGTTTTGGACCAACAGCCACCATCTCTGAGCTTCATCCTTTAGAGTGTAGGTAGCCAAGAGTACTTTTTGAGTTGCGGAGCAAGGGAATACTTCAAATAACTTTTCCATTTCTAGCAACCAGGTTTCTGCCTTCAATGGTTCAATGCCACCCAAGAAGGTCAGCGGTTTCATTTTCATAAATTTTTGAGTCAAATTGATGATGTCACTATTGTCCGGTTCAACTAGCATTGGCGGAGGCAGATGAGGTAAAGGTTGTTGTCTCAATTGCTGCGTCATGGCTTCAGTCAAAGCCGCAAGCATTTGTTCCATTTTGTTCATTTGGGCCTCGGAAGATTCACTTATATCATTTCCCCTTGCATTCTCCATTTTGCTATAGAGAGACAAGGTAACAATAAATACAAGAATAATCTTGTTCATTTCTTTTAATTTTTTTTTTTTCAAATGCATAGAGATTATCACACACTCACACATGATGATGAAATGTCCCTAATTCTTTCTAAGACATCCTATAGCTCTTATGGACTCGTGTGTGCGGTATAACTCATGCTCTGATACCACTCTGTTACGACCTAAACCCACCCCTATAGGTTTAGTGTCGTAACTGGCCAGTAACCCTTGGATTACCATAGGCCTTTCGACAGAACAACATATAGTAAGGGGTTGCAGAAGCAAATATAGAAAACAAACAATGTCCATAGAGCTGTGTTAACATATATGAGACGAAAAACTTCAAAACAAACTTGTATATATATATAACTTCATAAATACATTAAACATGTGTTATCCATCCATAAGAACGAAACCAAAAAGGGACTTAGCCCAGTGTACGGATAAGCGACAAGCAAAAACAACTGTAGTAAGGTTACAAAACTAAACATCTCGAAAGGGAACTTCCCCGGGAGGCACAAAAGGGTGGCTGACCAAAAACTGAGACGTCAGGTCCTCAACTTTGAGCCTGGTCGTGTGCCTGCTCACCTACATACATAATATAAATAGTGAGCTGGAGCCCAGTGAATAATAACAAAATAAAGGGGTTCTAAATGAATGATGTCCATAATAGGTACTGAAATCAGAGTTCATATTAAAAGCAGATATATTCATGTTCTTGTTTAACTACATACAAAAATCGGAGTTCATGCTTCATTATACATGGTACATCTATTAGCATTAACTTGCTTAGTCGTTCCATTGGGAACCTCTGGTACCAGGAAAACTTGTAACTTGCTCTAACCACAGTATTGTTACCCTCGGGTAAGGGCCATGAGACCACAATATTATTACCCCCGGGCAAGGGCCTTGCTTATAAGGCACGGTATTATTACCCCCGAGCTAGGGCCTTGTGCTAAGGATGCCATGAATACATTTTAGAAACTTGGACAACCATTCATTACACAAAATAAAACATTTCATAAAACAAATCTTAATTCATATCATCCAGAAAATAATTAAAGTTAAACATATTTTTATTAAGTTATTACTCACAGATGACTCCACTTTTAGAATAGGCAAATCAAATAACTTGAGGCGCGTGACCTACACATACATAGCAGAAGCACATAATGAAACACACATTCGGTTGGCACTTAATTTATTTATTTTTTTTTCATAGTATGTTTCTAGGTCTTAACGTCTTATTGAGTCTTAATTATGGCCTTGGAGTGCCTAGGATGCAATGAGGACACTAAAATGTACTTAAACACATTTAACAAAACTTGTTGAAATCAAGGGTCCCGCTTGAGCGCAACTTCCCTTGCTCGAGCGGACATGCAAATATGTGAGGGGACCCTCGAGCATGATTTCTCCCGCTCGAGCGGTCTGTAAATTTTGTAAAAGTACTGGTTGTGTGAAATTTTCGCTCGATCCTCGCTCGAGCGTGAGACTCATGCCCTCGCTCGAGTGCAACTTTCGCTGCTTGAGCGGTCTGCAAAACATGCAAACTTTTGGGAGCATGCATTTCACACTCGAGTGTACATAAGGTCGCTCGAACGGAAGTGAAAAAACAAAGGTGGCTGGTTGAGCGCAGAATCTGTTGCTCGAGCGGAATTGCAGAATCTGGAATTTCCAGATTGCACTCTCAAGCTCCAAGCTCGAATTCCACACCTCAAAACTCAACTTCTTGAGCCAAAATTCTGGAAAACATTTAGGAACTTGTAAAATATTATGATTTGAAGATCATTTCTTGAAATCAACGCCCAAAAGCATGTTAATTGACCAAAATTCAACTTGAAATGTACAAAACATGCCATGTATGCATTTGTTTGACTCCAAAGCTTCCAAAACATGATCAAGGGGTATAAATTGATGCAACACAAGATGAATTCTCAAAACACATGTAGGATGAGTACATGCAAGTTGAAATTCCTTGAGATCAACCTCCAAACTTCATGAATTACACATGCATATGAAAATTCTTGATTTCAATCTCAAGATGCTATGATATATGCATGCATGTATAGAATGACTTAATCTTCTTCAATTCTAGCTCATTCACTTATAAATTCACCTCATTCACTTGGTTCTACGCATTAATTAACTACATTACAAAGTCAAAAATTATAATTCTTACCTAAAGTCTCAATTGTATAAGTGTACAAGTTCACCTCTCAATTCTCCTCAATTCTCTAGCAAATTTCTTGTTGAAGACTTCTCCTTGGTCTCTCACTCTCTGTGTGTTTGTGAGCTCAATATATGTTGGAGAGAAAGAAAAGAATGAATGTGAGCACTTGAGAAGCCTTAAATAGGCTTGCCTAATGATAGTTAATTAAGACTAATCAAATGAGCCATTAAATTAATCTAATTTAATCGTTCTGAACTGAATTTTTATTAACCCTACCATAAAATTCTAAAAATTCTAATTAGCACATAAATCAAGTCAATTTCTGAATTGGATGCCAATAAGGGCTTTAATTTGCAAACCGAAGCGAAAACATGAACAGATCTTTTAACGTAAAACAGATACAAACACAAAATAAGGCAACATATGATGCAAGATTTCACTTTAATTTCTTATTAGGCATAATTAAGCATGGATTAACGTTAATCATGGGTCGGGGTTGTTACAGTCTTCCCCCCTTAAAGAGTTTGGTCCTCCAAACTCGAGTTACCTTCATGTTAGAAGAACACTGGATTCAAAGGAAACAATTCAGGGTATTTTCTCATCATATCTTCTTCAGTTTCCCAAGTTGCATAGGTCCCTCCGTGGTTTTGCCAATCGACTTTTACCAACGGTATTTCCTTGTTCCTTAGCTTTTTAATTCAGCAGTTCACAATCTATGTTGGCCTTTCTTCATACGTGTAGTTATCCTTTAAAAGCACATGTGTCGGCTTAATAACATGGTGCGAATCTCGTAAGTAATCCTGTAACATTGAGACATGAAAGACATTGGTGGTGTTTGGGAATAAATTTTTTAGGTTTTTTTTTTTGTTTTTTTTCACTAAAAGACAAATTAGTTACAAAACCAAAAAAAAAAAAAAAAATCCAAACAAAAAATCACATCAAATCCCATAATTATTTCACTTTTTCTCTCACAAACATCACATCCAACCACAAAAAAACCCAACTATCTTCCCAAACACAAATTTTTTTTT